CTTGATGTGTGATCTCAAGAAGATGACACTAGCCTGTGTTGTCAGACACCACCTTGCATGGTATCCTTCTGGGAATGAAAGGAATTGCTGTTCCCACAGTTTTGGTGGCTACCAGTCCCCTTGCAGCAAATGGGGCAAGGTCCTAGTTCTTCTGGAGACCAGCTGAAACCTAAACCCTGTGACCTGGTGATCTTATGGTCAGCAAGAATACTGATTTTCTGTCTGTGTGATGCAGGGGCAAAGACACCTGCTGCCTTGCTGGCTTCACATGGTGCCCTGGGATCTGTGTGAGACGTGGAGCTTGCAAGCTGCTGAGCTGGCAAACAGGGCTTCGCACTTCACAGGTTTGCTGTTAACTGAGACACAGCACGCAAGTCCAGGTTTGACCATTGGTCTGACTGCAGTGGTCTACAAGGCCTTCAACAAGTTGTAAAGGCAAGGCTGTGGGTACATGGAGGCTGAGATGTGATGCAGGGTTGGCCTCCTAAGGTTAACTTTTGTCAGGCTAACCCCACGCCTTCCTTTGGAAAGGTAGCTGATTTCCTCAGCAAAGAGAGGACTCTGTGATGAGAGGTTAATTTGATGCTGCATTACGTCAGAAGTGGGTTGTTTCTCTGGAGAAGACACAGTATAGCCCAGGTGTTGCAGGTGAAGTGGGGCAGTGGTGGTGGGAGGTGTTGAAAGATGAGGTAAATACTGAGGTTCCTTGGAGGTGATGCTGGCTCATGGTTTTGTTGAGGACACTGGCACAAAAGGCAGCAGCATGTTCATGGGCTTTGCTGCTGGAGCTGTGGGAACACAAGTTGGGCTGAGGACAGCCAGTGGGAAGAGCTACAGTAACAAAACCAAGAGACAGTCTGTAATGCCAGGTGGGGTGAATGTAAATGTGGGTGTAATGGGGTTTTGCTGCCAGCTAGGAAATCATGTCCATTGGAAATGACCTGGTGGATAGAAAAGCTTGATGCAGTGTTTAATAAAGGAGTAAAAACAAACCTCCAGGCTGATGGGGCTGTGATAAAGGCCAGTGTGATCTCAGGCTGCAAGTCATGGTGTTTCCAGTGTAACTGGGGAGCTGCTTGTGCTGTTATACAAGTGAGACCTCCTGGAGACTGCTGTGTTTTTGGTCACCCTTACTCAAGAAAAAGGGACTTAAATAGGCTGATGAAGAAAATAGAGAGCCATTTTCTATGTGTCTGTCACAGTAGTCCTTCTTACATAGATCACCAAGCGTAAGTGTCTGGGTCTGAAAGCAGAAGCAAAATAACCTCGCTGCCAGGACTCTGCCTGAGCAATATATCTGCATCACTTCTGGGGCTTGAGTTAGTATCACTTCAGGGCACTTGAGACAATTTGCCTTGCACTTCACTGGTACAGATGCGCTGCCTTAGAAGAGTTGGCATCGTGTAGCTTATAAATGATAGTTGGGTGGGACTGATTCCTGCTTGCAAAGGAGGGAGGAAGACGTGCCGGGAGAGAAAAAGAGCTGCTTAAGCAAAAACAGTTTTGACATAAGAGAAAATGGATGTAAAATGCTAGTGAGTACATTTGGGTAAGAAATGTAAGTGGAGCGTTTCAGTCTGAGTTGGGAGAGCAAAGCCCTACCTACTCCCAAGGTGGAATTTGATTGTCCATAGAAGGCATGGTATAATTCAGCTCTGCAGCGCAAGCAAGGAGACCTGGACTGGCAGGACCCTCCAAACATACAAGAATTATGAGAAGGAAATGAGTATTTAAACAAACATGACCTACTCTCCATCCTCCACCCAAAAAATAAGTGAACTACCCCATCTGTGTTAGCAATGTGTCTCATATGGTCTCGATTAGAAGTTGGATATGAGTCTAGGTGGATATGCATGTGGTGAGCTCTTCAGGATTTGTGAAGTATGGTATTGCTCTTGGAGCTATTGGGTCTTGCAGAAGAACAGTTTGCCTTAGTAATAACCAAGGAATGCTACAGGAATATGTACTAAGAGATGTTTGCAGGGAGGAATAAACTGTAATCTACTGACTGTAATTCATACCTCAGTACTTGATTGAGGAGACCAGGGTGGGGCTGGGAGCTGTCACAGCTCTATTTGGTGTGAACCCAGCACCCACGTTCCTGCCAGGTTAATGAACCGAGGCAGAGGAGGAGGGAAGGTCTCAGCCAGCGGCAGCAAGTAGGATGATATAAGATCTCTAGGGCAAGCAAAACCCTGGAAGGAAAAGAGAGGGAGCTAGTTGAGATACTGAAGGACATGAGAGGGACTTAAGTTTCAGGGGTGGAGTTTCTCTACTTGGTTGGTTTGCTTTCCTGTGCAACCACTGCCAATTTTGCAATCACAGCTTGACTCCTTGAGCTTTCAGAATAAGATGCATTTCTGTTTTGTTTTTTTAAGTGGGTTCAGGTGAACCCAGCCAGTGCAAAATTACACTATTCTTTCCAAAGCAATAGGGAACCCAAGAAAATGGTTTTCCTGGTGTGTCTTTGAGGTACCTGTAAACCAAGACCGATTTGTCACTTCTAGGAGCAAGGGTGCAGCTCCTGCTAAGTTGAAAAAATCAGAGAAAAATGGGGAAAAGCCATTTCTGGAAATCCCTGAGAAAGGAAGTGTTTGTGTAGCTTAAAGGACTCAAAGTCCTTGCTGACCTGTGCACCTTCTTGAAGATGTTATTTCCCTGCATTGCACTCTATGTAAAGCAGCTGCTGGGCTGGGGGATTATCCTATATGTAAGTGTGTGCGTGTATTTCCACTGCTGCTTCTCACCTCTCGCTTTATGGGTATTGTATTGTATGTCTGTGTTAAATGTACCAAAGCATATCTGGCTCAGGAAGCTCATGGGCTTTGGTTGGGAGGCTGGAATACAGGTTGTGGAATTGTATTTAAAATCCAGTGTAATGTCACTTCTAGGGGGGGCTTGGCCATGGGGAGGCCCCCAAGACCCCCATACCCCAGAGCTGAGTCATCAGAAATTCACGCTTAAGCATGTTGCTGGGAACAAGCTTGGATCTTTTTCTGTCTCTTCTAGAATGCTGCCCACATGGCTTTGAGTGTCAAGTCAAAAATAACCTTGACTTTTTATAGCAAACACAATCAATAAAACAAGAGCCAATCTGGCCGCCGCCTCCTTCCCAGCTGTGGTTGCTCCATCGCTCCTGGCTTGGGACTGCTCCATCCCTCCCTGAAGGTCATTGCTTGGATGCTGTGTAGCTTCAGTATGCCCTGGTGGTAAACCCATATAATCCCATTCCTCCTTTTTCCCTTGTCCTTTCTTTCTCTTGGAGGACCTTCGCTTTGCTATGTAGGAGTTGCAGATGGGAAATATTTTCATCCTGTGTTTGTAGCCTTGCTCAGTTCTGCAATCTTGTGCCCCAGGACCTGAACTGGCAGTCCTGCCCGGACTCAAAAAGGTTTCACTGAGCTGTTGGAACTCCTGACTGACTCCTCCCAGTCTGTGTTTTGTTCTGCAAATGTTCACAGGGGCCTTAGATGTTGGCAGGGAATATGAAATGGCTGTAATAGTGTCCTGTTTCTCATTCTGTCTGGGACACAGGCGATCCAAGCCGATGAGCAGGTCATTGAGGATGAACCGTGACTTACACTTGTGCAACAGCGGTTGGGAACTCATGCTGTGTCCTTGCACTAACCCCTCTGGGCATGCAGGCAATTATGGAACATGTGGAAAGCAGAGGTGACTCTTGTGGGTCTCTGCTTTTCTTGGATCTGTATCGCGAGAGCAGAGGAATACATTGAGATTTAGTCCAGGCTTTATATTCTTTTTTGAGCTGGATGTTATTTGGAATGTGGCTCAAGGAAGTCCATGTACTTCTGTCACGTGAATTCGTCTGCTCTTGTGCAAGCACAAGATGTAGAAAGTGCTGGAGGAGGAATCACCCTTGCAACTGCTCTAGAAGTGGTCTAAGATCCCTCTTCTGCTTATTCACCCTCTGGACCACTGTGTGGGGTCCTGCAACCTTCTTGCCTAGAATCATAGAATCACAGAATAGTTCTCAGTGTTTTCTCATCACTCCAACCCTGCATCACTTGGAGATGTTTCCCCTCCCCAGGGTCAAGTCCAAAGCCAACAATTGCATCAAGGCAGATGTGAGCTCACGTGCATGTGTTCAGAGACTTCAAAGTTGGGCTTCTTTCACATATTGTCCAAGGGGAACCTGCCAGATATTTTTCCCCCTTTCAGTTGACTTGCAGAGAAGACCACCTCCACCTGCTTTTCAGTGAAAACCTTCTTGAAAATGTTTGTGCTTTCTGGTGGAAGGGTGTCTGAGTTTAATCTGAAGAAAGCCAGAACTTCCCAAGGACTGCCTGGAGGATGAGGACTGAACTTCTTTTACACCACCCACCATTGCAGCCTGTTAGCAGAGGCCCATGGCAGCAGCCACACTGCTGCCAGCATCACTCCTGTGCTGCCGACAACAGGGGACCCTGTTCTCTGGGACTGCTGATCTGCCACCTTCCCCTGGCTCTAATATTTACTGAAAATGATCCTGTGGTGACAGATCTATTTCTGTTTTTGTTCTCTATAACATACCTGACAGACTGCCCCAGGCGACTGAGGAATTTGTAATAAAGGCAATGTTTCCAAACTGAGCTTGGTGCTCTCCTGCCAGCAGCACTTCCAGCCAGCAAAGACTAGGACCCTGTTTATCCACCCCAGTTAGACTGGATAAATATATGACTTTTTAAATTTAGGCCCTAAGTTTTCGTTGAGAGGTTTTGTTTGCTTTCACTATTTTGTGTAATCCGTTTCAATCGTGTCTTTGTTCAATGATGTGTGCAGTGAGGGGCAATGACTTGGGCAAGGATGTTCAATGGCTCAGTTGCACATTCTGTACTTGAAACTGTGGAGAAACCCACATTATTTGACTTTTCCAAGATGCTGGGAAAACAGAATGGGGCTGGGTGGCAGGGCATGATATCCTCCCTCTGTGTGCCATCACCTGCCTGGGCAGAGCAACCATCTGGTTGTACCACAGCTGAGCCTTTCCTTCTTCTCCACAGACACATAGAAAACTGGAAGAACTTGCAGACACTGAACGCCGTTGACATGGAGCTGTACACAGGACTCCAGAGGCTGTGAGTATGTCCTGTGCCTCGGGGAGGGAAATGGACCTGGGCAGCCCCTTCCTTCCAGCACAGCCGTGGCTTCCCTCCATCTGCAGTCTCCACGCTGTCAGTTTAAGCTGCTGGATCTACTGTGTTTTGCTATGAGACTCCACAAAATGGAGATGAAGTGCTTTTTGGTCTTTGCTGGGTCTGTGAGAAGGAAGATTGCTAGCTCCTGACAGCTCTGTCAACACACATCAGCCCTGACCTCTCCCCTCCCCTGCTGTTTTGGTTCTGGGCTTATGTGTTGTTCTGACTCATTTCAGCCCCACAATGTGAAATTCCAGCTGTCTCCACCAATCCTTCATTGCTGGGCTGTTGGTCCTCATTTAGAACAGTTACCATCACGGTGGTGCTGCACAATAAGGGAATTGCATCTCCCTGCACAGCTCTCTGAGCACAGGGAGAGGTCAACCGTGTGCGTCATGGAGGGGAAATAGAGGTCCATGAGATTGAAGAGACTTGCCAGATGCTTGGGAAGCCTGGCCAAGCAAGGATACCACCCAATCTCTTTATTCCCCCTCCTACATACTCCTGGGTCTGGGAGTGCCCTGGGTGCTGCTTGTGTGAGATGCAGAGTGTTGCTTGGGGATAATCAGAGACTCTAATAATGTGTTTCACTGGGAGCTTTACATTAAGTACAGCTCCCATGTGGGCTGGAGGAGGTGTATATGGCTGAGCACTCAGTAACCAAACTCCAGCAAGCTGTACTTTTCACACACAGATCCATTGTAAGCAGGCTGGCTGCTGTTTTCATCTCACCTAACAAAACAGCACTGGCAGCAGATATTGAGAGTTTTTCTAAAACAGGATGTGAATTCCCCCTTCAATGTCCAAAATTCCCAGTGTAAAATACCCTTCCTTTTCAGAGCTGCAAGCAGAAGAGTTTTTTCTTGGATATGAAGAGGGGAGATGACTTTGTTGAGGGTTAGGTTTGCTTGTGGCAGTGTTGCTTGTGAAGATGGAGGGAGAGGAGCAGGAGATGGCCTGTGCCACCCCAGCAAGCCCTGGTGGATGTGGGAGCAGAGCCTTGCCCAACAGCTGATCTGCACTGTACTGTTACCATATCAGATGAAGCTTAAAAGCTGAATTTCCTCTTCGCTTGTAGCTCACAGAGACTGCCTGGGGACAGATGTGCCTCCAGGGGTGGGAGGGGGAATCGAGGGCTCTCAGGTGCTGAGCAGGGGGTTAGAGCAGTTGTCTGCCTTCACTCCATTGCTGCCCTTCTGCATCTCTCTGCAGGACAATCAGGAACTCAGGACTACGAAACATCCAGCCACGCGCCTTTGCCAAGAACCCTCACCTGCACCACATGTGAGTGCCAGTGGCTCCTGTCCCCTTTCCCCTCTGTTCCCTATGGAAAGGCAACTCACAAAGTGGATCCCCAAAATGTCTCTTGGGAACAGCAAGGAGAGGGAAGCAGAACGCTGATGGGGAAAGAGAGGGAGAGGTGGGAAAGGGCAGGAAATGGAAAAGCGAATGTGCAGGGAAGTGGAATGGGCTTCGATGCAGGAATGGGGTGAGGTCCCGCTGGGCAGCTGATGGGTTTGGGTTTCTGATGACTGCCCTGGCTTTGATCGCCGCTCTAACGAGTGCTTGCATCATTATCAGCCTTGAAGCGGCTGGTGCACGTTTCCCTTTCTGCAGAGTTTGGGGGCGGCCACCAGCCTCAGCGCACAGCCAGAGCCTGCCCCACTCGTTAGTTTTTAACCAAAGGCTGCTTTTCCAATACAAATCCTGGGGTGCAGGGGCTGCCAGCTCTGCTCCTAATTATTGACTTCTTAAACTGGCATCTGCAGCGGGCCTGGGGTAGGATTGTTTTGTGCTAGAGAGGCTGGAGTCCTGTTATCATGGGACATTGCACAAGTGTCCAGCTGCTGGGGCATCATTAACCAGCAAGTACAGTGTCACGGGGAATTTCCACATCCTTGACGCCAAGGGCACTGGTTTATTTTCTAAATGTGTATTTACTTTTCCCAAGGTGAAAAATCAAAGCCTGAATTTCAGGCCACTCTGCAAGGTGCTCTATGGGCTTGAAATATCTTGTCCAAGTAACTGTGTCCAAGATCAAAGCCCTCTCTATCCAGTGTAGATACAAAAGGTGAAAAGGGGTTGTTGAGAGGCTCTGTCCTTGGGCATGAGCTGGTGGGCTGGATGGAGAGTGTGTGTATCCCTGCTTTTTGGAAACCAGTGCTAGTGGCTTCTTCCCTTTTTAAGTGCATCCATTTGAGTCTGCAGATGCATTGGACCATCGATACAGACGTGTTCCTGGGGCAAGGAGATAAATGCGACCTGCAGAGCAGGATAGATTTGTCTTTTGATGTCTGCTTAGAGATGACGTGAACTGAAAAACCCCAAAAGCTCCCTTTTTGGAAAACCATTTACAGTTGCTAAGTGACAGTAAAGTACTTGCTAAATAGGAGATCTGCGGAATCAAAGGGCATGAATAGTTGAGGGCATTGTGAACATGGACTGAGCTTTTTTGAGTTTAGAGAATTGTATATTTTTCATAATAAACCCTCGTTAATGCTGACCACTGGGATTTTCCTGATTTCTGCCCTTTGTAATTTTGATTTGAAGCAGGTTTTTTGTGTTTTCTGTAGTTGTTTGTTCCTGGGAAGTGTTCTCTCTGAACCACTCTCAATTTTTTTTTTTTTTTTTGGAATGTTGTTTGTCAATTGTGTAGTTGCTGTTTATGTATCTCGCAGATAAAATGAATAACATTTGATTCCTGATGAAATTAGTTTGGATGTCGTAGGAGTTTAAAAGGCCCTGTACACTTGCTTTGAGGCTGAATGTCATTAATGTGTGCACAGGCAATTGTTGCTGCTTTTTCCCAAAGTGTTTGGTTTTGTCTTTTGGAATTACTTTTGGGAGTGGGAAAAACCCCACATCCATCTTGTGTCAAGAGTTAGGGTTGGTACTGGTGATGAAATATGTGTTTGTTTACTGCTTGGGCTGTGTAAGATTGATCATGTTCTTCACATCTTTCTTTCCTTGCCTTTTGAAGCTCGAGGCGAGTAAGTATATTATTTGGTTAGCTTTTGCCAGTGGGTTTTGATGCTGTTGCTGGGACTTGGCAGCATGGGTGTTTGCAAGGCGGATGTTCCCTGTAGAGGATGCTGCACACTCAAGGATGGAAACTTAGTGCTTACAGGGTTGGTGACTCCCTCTTGTTCCCCAGGGGCTCTCAGACCACGGTGCCAGTGCTCCTTTGCAGCCAGGTTGCCTTTCCCAGGGTGGCTCCTGAAGCTTTACACAGCCTGGCAGGTGCCTGGTGCCAACCAGGATCCCCTCATGGCCTCAGCTCTCTGCCAGTGCATCAAGGTGCCTCCTTGGCTGCTCTGCAGGTGCTGCCTCCCTGGAAGGCCTGACATCCTCTGCAGCCGCTGCGCGTAAGAACCAGGGATAAAAGGATTAATGGAAATGTCACTCTGCTCTAAGTCTTGGGCTGCTGCAACCAGGTACAGTAGCAGAGAGGAGTGAGTGATACTGTCCCCATCCCCTTGTGGAAGGGCTGCCTGCAGGATTGGGAACTATGGGATGGTGTTTAGGGTTTGTTTAGCTACTGCTACATGTTATCGCTGCCACTCTAGTTTTCCTTCACCTTTGATGACTGTTTGGATGGTTGCTGGTGAAGCTGAGTCAATAAGATGGCAAATGTGTCTAATAAATGAGAAAGTGGTTTCACTGCCAGTGGCACAGGGAGGTGGGAACCCTGGGCCAGACCTTTGCAGGGTGCTACAGTCTGGGTCTGAGCATTTTTTCACATGAAGCTCATGTACAAATTCTGAGGTCTCAAAAGCTGACTTTTTCCCTCCCCCCTCCCTTCCCATCCTGGGTTAAATCCAAACTTCCTGCTGAACTAAGTTTTTTTCCCAGTGCCTCTCATCAAGGTTTCCTCTTCTCAAATGGGCCAGATAGCTCTGCCTTCTCCCAGTAACATCTATTTCTGGCCCTTCCTCTGTGCACGCGCTTGTCTTCAGACCCCAGCTGTGCAATCACAAGCAGATCACTTATCCCAGCTCTAATTGCAGGAGCTCAGGTTTGTGAGGGTTTGGATGAAGTTTGGCTTGGTTTTTTCCCCCCTTCCCCATCACAGAGTCAGGGTGGAAAGGTGAGATAGATACCCATGAAGGGGATTTTCACCATTCAGGTGCTCAAGTGGTAGACCTCAGAGTGTTCCAAAGTGCAGCTGGGCAGGTTCATGCCTGTCCTTTAAGGTTTGAAATTAGCTGTGTTAGTGTAAGGGGCTGGAGGTCAACCTGATCACTGGAGTAGCAGTGGGTGACCTGGAGCCAGAAGTTTGGATCTAGAAATGGCTTTGGATTCCTCTTCCTTCTCCTTGAATGGGGACAATTAGGGCTCCATGGTCTTGTCTGATTGTTGGTGATGTGAAGCCTATCACTGCTACAAGGCAATTAATCCAAAATATAACAGTGGATTTTGCAACATGGATCTATGTCTTCTGCTGGCGCTTGGACCAAGAGAGTTGAGTCTTTCCAAAAGAAGTACTGGCTGGATGTGGGTCTGATGTAAACTGGATATCTTCCAATGTTATTTTGTGCCATTTCTTCAGATCATCTCACTGAGAGGAGTTGCGTTGGTGGGTTTCTGGTCCCATTTCTGTGGATTTTTGACAGTCCTTTGGCTGTTGCAGGAATGGTCCTGGACAACTGTATGCACTGGATGTGAGGACCAGCAAGTCTAGGCTGTGGAAGACTTGTAGCCAGACTCCTGGATGTTGGTGTTAGCAGGCAATGCAGCTGAACATAGAAAATGCTTGGTATTGACAGAAAACCTCAGTTTTTGGCTTGAGGCTGTACAAGAAAACTTTTTAGTGTGGTGTGGTTCCTAAATTTGAGACATAAACCATCTGAATACATATTTACTATGCTGCTGTGTTTAGCACAGCTTATTGAGGAAAGTCTTGCATGCTCTCAAACTCTCTGTCCCTTCTTCTAATGACAGTGGAAGTCTTTGGCTAATTTATTTGAACTCGATAGAGGGTTACAAGTCCTGAGGAGATCAACTTTCTACATGTATCATGAAAATAGGCAGAGGCATAGTAAAGAGAAGTTTTTGTAGTGCCTTGTAGGTAAGAATTTAGCCTTAGCAAATTCCTCATTAGGAACTGGGAAGTCCACAGGAGAACTATTTCACAGTGGACCAGGAACTGGTGCACAGGGAGGGTCACAACCTGTTTGCTGCTGGCCAAAGTGTGCAACCCTCACTGGTCGTGAGACAGTAAAGCTGTGCATGTAAGGAGGGTGAGCTCTCAGCAGGCTGAGCGAGACAAGTTGATATTTGCAGTGCCCGAGTCCCACTTTACTGGTAAGCAGGTACTTAAGAGGCTGCTTCCCTCTAAATATTTTCCTGGGCGGCTGGGTACTCAACCAGCCAGTCAGGAGGCACTGCCTTGTATTTGCAGAGGGTAATTGTGCACACCTTATTTATTGTGTAGTAAAGAAAACAAATTAAGGCTGTGTAATTACAGAGACAGGCATGCTTTTAAATAAGGCTTAAGTAGTCAGATTTCTATTTAGAAAATTAATAATTGCCATTTCTATCTGCATTCAGAGGCTCTTCCTTAACTGTCTTCTGGAGGTTTATATGTGCTCTAAATTAGTTTGTGGGCCAGCCCAGGCACAGCTTCTGTCAAAGATTGCCCTCTCAGCATCGCCTGCCAGAATAAGGATGGGATTGAGGATCAAGCTTTCTCTTCCAGTCTTCACCCAAGAGTCTTACACATGGAGACCCTGGAGTGCTTTGTGCTGAGTATAACTGTTTTTTGAGTATGGTGTGGTCAGGTCACCAGCTCCACAGGCTTTTTTATCTGTGTGACCATGTCGGTCCCTTTCTCCCCAAAATGACGATTGAGGAATAACTGGAAGGTGCTGGCAGGAATGCCACAGGGACCTGCTTTGCCTGGTGAAAGACTGAGATGGCTTGTTTTCACAGGCAAACCTGAGCTGTGATTAATCTGGAGCCTTCCAGAACCTCATCTGTTAGTTGTTGTTTTCTGAGGATGAGGATTTAGCTTCAGTGTCCTGGTTGGGTTCATGGCAGCTGTGTAGTGATCATATGAACTGGTGCTTTGGTATGGAATGTAGCTTTTTGCTTTGACATGGGAATTCCCAGAGATATGTTGTGAGTTTAGGCTTTGATAGGCAAGATACTAGGCTGCATCCCCTGAAAACTGAGGGGGCTGAGGCAGGACAAAGTTGGTGAGTTGCCCTCTGCCCTTTTCAGTGCTGCTTCAGGACAGGACTTGTAGCCCTCCAGCAGCTAAGGATCCTGCACTTTCAAAGGGC